CTTTCTTTCTTTCTTTCTTTCTTTCTTTCTTTCTTTCTTTCTTTCTTTCTTTCTTTTCCTTTGCAATGTTTACTCTTTCTTTCTACCCTTTTTTCTTTTTTAGTTTGTATTAGTTTTTACTATTGCAATTATAATCTTTAATAAAATTATGGTTTTTTTTTTTAAGAGAACAGCCATTGTGGATTAGACCAAAGACCCATCTATTATAATCTGCGTTTTTCCAGGGGCCAACCAGATGTCCATGGGAGGTCCTATCATGTTCAAGGGCAATTGAGATTCAGGGGCTTCCTGATGCAGGAGCAAACAGTAAAAAGTCAAGTTTGTGAGATGGTAGCTATGTTAATTTGATGTATAAATAAACATTTGACAAATAAATAAAATTATAATCATTATTAATGGTGATATTCTCAGTGGCTTTATCCAAACAATTGCTATGTTTTGTGACTGATATTTCACAGTTTAACTGTACTGTATGCTACCTGATTTTTATTTTTTTTTTAATGGTATGCCCTGAATTTCTGCCATTCAGCTTCATTGGAATTTACCTTGGACTTTAACATTAAGTCAAGGAGAAAAACTTGGCATATCCACTTTCTTCAAAGTAAATTTTTACACTTCTCTCACATCACCCCTCATTTAGCTTGTAAGATAAAGAGTTCCAAACCACTCCAAAAATGGAAATTCCCCAGCACCTCAATAATCTTGCTAACCCTAATTTGCATTCTCCACTATTATTTTGAAGTGTTGTGGCCACATAGCATTCCAAACGCTCTCAAATTTTGTTTTAAAAAGGAACTGGATGATATTTATCAGCATAAACATTTTTGAGCAGATTAAATTTCAAACCGACAGTGCAGGAGATTTTGTTTTACAGTAAGCGTACACTTCTGCATAGAGACAGAAATCATATAATTTATATTCAGCCTTGTAATTTAATTAATTGAGAGGAAAATCTAAATGTTATGATAGTATGCATTCATTTACCCAAACAAGGTTGATAGATTGACACTAGATGACATGATAGTTCAAGCTCTTTATTCAGTAAACAATACTGTACATGTAGCTTTCAGATTAAATGGATAATCTTGCTAAATTAAACCTGAGTTATTTGCCATGTGGAATAATCTCAGAAATGGATCTGATAAAAATTATACAATACAATATACTTAAGTGATTTATTAGTGATACTTAAGCTAGTATACAGAAGATAAACAATACCTGAAGTTGGTTCCACAGAAAAATAGGGCTGTTCTGAAGGAATACTATAAATCAGTCGAACACCTGTTGCATATGTCGCCGTCACCTGAATCACTGAGGTACCTGAGAAGGTGTTGGATGAAAAATCCAGCTGTTATGAGAATATTTCTTTTGTAAAGAGAATTGCTTCCTTCAACTTTGTTACATTTCTATTTTGAATATAATATACCTTCTGTTCAAGACTTTTTTTTAGGCCAGAGTCTGAAAAGGCCAAAATGGTTTTTTTTTTGCAAAATAAATGCCACCAACTTCACGGTCCTTAGATCTAGAGATGTAAACTTGTTTCACATTCCTTTAGGTCATGAAAAATGATCTGCAAAAGTGGCACACAGTCTTTGAAATCCTTGAAAGAGATGTCTATTTCATGAGTGATGAGAAAATAGAATCTTTCTTTATTTGAAAGAAGCACTGTCTGAATTTTACCCATTTGTTTAGTATTATATAAATGTTGTAACACCTGCCTTTTATTGAATTTCACATTGTGAATGGATAATGAAGCTGATTTTGATTGTCCATAGCAGTAAGATACAGCTGCTTTGTAACTATTTTAAGTTCTGTATTTTTGCATTTTTGTGAGGGATGAGAGCCTATCTGGTCATAAAAACTAAACAATGTCAGAGATACAATGACAGTATGAGTGTAACATACTTTAAAGCTGTTTCACAAATCAACATGCCACCCTTGCTTCTAAAAGTGAAGTTGCATGCTGCTTCACTTCATTTGCTCTGCCTTCTCTGACAATTCCAGCACCTGGAAGAGGCTTCCAATAAGCTATGGGAAGTAACTGGAATACACTTTGGTGCATAAGCAGAAGTCTCTTTGGAGTTGTCAGTCAAGGCTTTGGGAAGACATGAATCACATTGAAGAGGATCATGTTATTTGGGGGACTGAGGCAAAGCTATGCCATACACACCTGGGCACATAAACAAATCCATACCAATTCAGAAGCACAGCCTATAGATACGGTGATCGTATTTTCTTGGGAAAAACAAAGGACAAACCTGAAAAAGGGGCAAATCTGAAGGAGGTCCATAAGGATAAAAAAATTTAGTTGTTTATGTTTATGACTTTGCTTTACAAAGGAAATTCCAGAGCAAAACCAAGGAGGGAAAAAAAACCCTTTACAAAACACATATTCTAATAAAAATAGCTAAAATCAAACAGTATATGTAAATTTATTTTAAAAAGACAATTCAATTTCCATATTTTTC